AAGGGAAACCCTATCCGATAAGAAGTAAAACACACTATCTTTATTCTAAAAGAAATTAACAACTTGTTACACAGAATGCTTTCAGATTTTAAGTCTGTTCTTCAGAATACATAAAAGTTGACTTTTCCTTTTAACTCATTTTCACACTTCCTAAAAATGTCAACAGTTTAGTTAACAATCCCTAGGGATGTTTTTATATGTCTACAGGATCAGACTATTCTACCAATAAATAGAAGATGAGGTAGGTGTGGAGGCATATGCTTATAATCCTTGCAACTAGTGAGGCTGAGGCAAAAGGATAGCAACTTTGAAGCCAGGCTGAGGAACTTACTGAGACCATGTCTCTAAAAAAAAGGGATCTGGGGATGGGAAAAAGGCGGGGGAGGGGGGGATTTTGTATATAGTTTGTGGGAATATAAATTGGTGTATACACAATAGGGAAAAAAATCTGGAGATTCCTAAAAAATTTAAAAATACAATTACCATCTGATCTAGCAGTGATACTTCTGAAATCTAGATCTCAAAAAGATGCCTGGACTCCCATGCTTTGTGTTTTACATTTTAAGACAGAAGGAAATCCTGCCGTTTGTGACAATATTGATGAGCTTGAAGAATACCACACCCAGAAGGACAAATAATACTGTATGAATAGTGCATATTAGGCTTTTTAGATAATTGTGAATACTGCTGCATCAAAAACGGTGAGAATTTCTCAATGACCAGTTACAAGGAGGATGGTAAGGGCCCAACTCTGTGGGGCCCTTGAAGAGGCAGAAAAGCCACAATTTGAGAATGGCTGTTGTTTTAAACCATTACCCCCTATTTGATCACAAAACTGACTATATTGATACCTACTGATTTATTTAGATTGCATATCATCTTAGTGCATTCCACTGAATCAGAATCAGGGTGTCAGGCAACATTGTATAAAGCACTCAGTGAATTCTAATATATAACAGGTACACATTAAGTACAGAAAAAAGCTGACAGTACACATAGGAAAGGGTGGTAAGAAACTTGGAATGTATTATTTTTTATTGTTATGTCATTTAAATCCTATTTAAACTATATTTTATACTTCAATAAAAATGTTATATATAGCCGCATTTGAAATAATTTTAAGATATCCAACCTATTAGTCAGTTAAAAAAAAGTAATAATTCCATTTCAGGTAAGAACAATTTCTTGAGAGTCCTTTAAATTATTTATTCCCTACAGTCTTCTTCACATTTCCTGATAGTTCTAAATACCATATATATTTTTCTTAGCATTTTCTACCCCAAACTAGGAATTTGCTCACTTTTTCCCAATAAGAAAGCTCACAATGTGTACCTCTCAGGAGCATCCAAAGCACCACAAACCAGATAAAACCTAACATTTGTAACTGTCCTAATTTCTACTGTGATCTAGAAAAAGTCTGCTCTGTTTCCAGTGAATAAGTCACATGATTAAGAGTGGAGTATGTGTTTTAGAGCTCAAGGACCTTTTACTACCTAAAATAAGACAGAAAATAAAAGTTTAAGTGTATTTCTCTGGCATGAACAATTAATATCCCAGTGTAGTTTTATGTATAAATTGCGTAAGCACAACAACTGACTACCTTGCAGATGATTTTCTCTAGAGGATCTTTGCTAAATACAAGTCCAGCTACATTTTGCTCAACTGAGCAAAGCCTCAGCACTAAAATTTTTGGAAAAGTAGGAACACCAAAGTTGCAAGTAACTTGGAGCCCTATGAACATAAAAATAGCCTTGAGAATGATTTCCAGAGAGTGGAACTAAGTGCTATCACGAAATGACATGCATAATGAAAACTTCTGACACATGGTGAAACAGTAAAACCTAAGTTTTCTTACAGGACTTCCAGTAGTAACTACTCTACCTAATCAGCAACATTTTCTACACATTGAATAAAGCTAGGGAAGTGAATTTCAATGAGTGTTAAGTAAATGACAAATTTTGGCTGTGACTTCAATTAATATTTCATTAAATAGATCATCCAAAGTGGAAAGTAGGTTTTCTAATAGCAGATTCATTCTCTAATCTTCTCTGTGACAACTTCCTAAATGGAACACTGCATTTCTTGGCCATTTGAAACTAAGACATCAGTTTATGAGCCTTACAACCCCAAAGAACAAGGGTTAGTTTTCATAAATGTAATAAAGAACGAAGGGGCTGGGTGTACACAGCTTGGCGGTAGAGTGCCTGCCTAACAAGCATGAAGCCCTGGCTTTGACGCCCAGCACCTGGGCAAGGAGGGAGTGCTACACAATGGTGTGTACTGTGTTAACTAAGAGTGCATCAATATTTCATTTAACAAATTGCATGTTTCTGCAATTAAGATTTTTAAAAATTACCCATTACAGAACTATATAATCATTTTTTACAAGCATACCAGGAACGCACAAACTTTCTGTATTTCATGCAACAGAATTTGAGGCCAGGCATAGTGGCACATACCTGCAAGGCCAGCACTTGGGAGGCTGAAGCAGGAGGATTGCCACAAGTGTGAGGCCAGACTAGACTACACAGTGAGTGCAAAGCCAGCCTGGACTACAGAGCAAGACTGTGTCTTAACACAAAACAAAATCAAATCTCAACAGAATTTGAGTGCTTGGAATACAAGTGATAAGACAGATTATAATCCCAGCCCTCATGAAGCTTAGATTCCAGGGAATCTTAATCATGGCTGAAGAGTATACATAAAATGTTAAAGGGGTGGGGATACAGCTCAGCGGCACAGCGCCTGAGCTTTACAAGCGCAAAGTCGTGAGTTCAATTCCTGGTAACAAAAATAAACAAAAACAAAAGCAAACCCAAAAAAATCTTTCTCCAGGAAGCGGTAAAAACTGGCTGATTTGCCAGGCGTGGTGGCGCATGCCTGCAATCTCAGCACTCAGGAGGCTGAGGCAGGAGTATCATTGTGAGTTCGAGACCAGCCTGGGCTACAAAGTGAGCTCGAGGCCAGCCTGAACTACATAGCGAGACCCTGTCTTAAAAAGACCAAAAGAAAAAAAACCAAAAAACAAAAAACCAAACAACTGGCTAATGTAATTGAGGCCAGGGATATAGCTTGGTGGCACAAGTACCTGCCTGGCAAGTACAAGGTTCTGAGTTCAATTCCTGGTAGCCAAAAAAAAAAAGGTACAATGCTGGAAGCTGAAAGGTAGAAGAGAATATCCTCTGCATATGCCTGTTTTCTGACTTGTTCAAATGTACATGTACTACTTTATAATAAGTATAAAGTAGCCAAGTTTTAAAAGATAAGTCATATGTGTTCTTTATAAGGAAAATTAGAAGATATACATGTGTGAATAGAAAATAAAATTTACCTGTCATTCTACCTTCCTTATGTTACATGTTCTGTTTGTTTTTTGGGGACAAAGTCTCGCTATGTACTTCAGGCTGGCCCTAAACTCACTATGTAGCCCAAGGGGCCTCAAACTCACGGCAATCCTTGTGCCTCAGCCTTCCAAGTGCTAAGCCACGAGGCCTAGTTCTTGCAAAGCCTTTTTAGGACAAAAAAAAACCTTTTCAGAGACACTAAAGATGTATCAAATGTTAGCATTACTGTTTCAAAATATACTACAGTTAAATATTCTTTTTAATTGCTGGCAATGTAAATCTTAGACTATGGTGTCTTTAATATAACTACCAGTTCTTGTTGGGCATGGTGGCAGAATGATGCCTGCAATCCAAGCACTCAGGAGGCTGAGGCAGGAGGATCACCATGAGTTTAAGGCCAGCCTAAGCTACATAACAAGATCCTGTCTCAAAAAAACTGAAAAAACCTAAATAAATAGATCTTTTATTAGAAATACTCAATTTCCAAATGAGTATTTTATTTTCCTGAATAATAATAATAATTGTTAAAGTACTCCCTTTTCCTTCTATTCTACTGAGTAGATTTCTAAGTGACAGCATAAATATTATTACAGACTCACAACAGACTGAAGTAAGAAGCACATTTGACTCTTTTCTTTCTTTATTTTTTCTCTTTTGGTTTTTTTGAGACAGGGTCTCCCTGTGTACTTCAGGTTGGCCTTGAACTCACTATGCAGTCTAGGCTGGCCTCAAACTCATGGCGATCCTCCTGCGCCACTCTCCCAAGTGCTAGGAGTGAGTGCTAAGATTACAGGCATGCACTACCTTGCCCGGCAGGAAGTGCATTTCTAATCTGCAGAGATAAGAATTTTAAACTTAAGGTTCACTGACCTCTTCAGGGGTTCTTGCCATTGAACAAAGTAAAGGCATACAATAACAATGAACTGTAAGGCAAAATCTGAAGCGACATCAAGTACATTTGTTCATGTGAATACACTCAAAACAGAGCAAGAAAATCCCAATTCAATGAAGACACTGTTTCATTGAACTTACGGGACTTAAAAGAGAACTTCTTTGGAAACAAAAATTATTCTGCCTAAGTTTATGAAAATCATTTTACCTTAGCATATACACAAACACTTTGTGAAGACAGGAGTCATGGCAATCAGTACATGGAAGCCCCGGCCTAAGAATTCACTTAACCTGTGACATGATGGTCAGGCTGATGTGCTGCATCACTGGTCCCATTCAACCTCACTCACATAGCAACAATAGTAAAGAAATTACAGGCTGAGATTCTGAGCCTCTTTGATGCCAGATTTCTTCGGCATTTTGGTAAAATCTATGAACACTTGTCAGAATCACATTTTTAAATGCATAAAATAAAATGCAAAATATTTCAATTGGATACAATAAGGTACTTATAAGCAATAACAAAGACCTAGCAGTGGGTATAATTACTACAGTTATTCTGAAGTACTGATGAGCTTAAACATTTCAAAGATAGCTAAAAATACAAAACTGTACATTATAAAGTACAAGATTTCTACTGGTAACAAAGTAACAGATACTGCTAATTCAACTACAGTTTGCGCCTACATTCATAGTAAAATAAATTCCAAATTTTAGCTAAAGGTTAATGAAAAGACAAATTTTTTCCCAAACAAGTTTACAGACCTCCTGACCTCCACACTCCTTGAGGGACCAATCGGCAGACCCCTGATAAGAAAACAGAAGACAAAATTAATAAAGTAAAAACAGCTTTGGTTCTCAAAACTCAATAAGCCAAGTTACAAAAGGCCCCGTTATTCTCCAAAATAGTCTAACCCAACAGAACAGTACCATTAGTCTTTTATTCATTCAATAATCTTCAGAAGATTTGGGCTGCAGCATGGTGTGGTGGCACACACATGTAACCCAAGCACCTGGGAGGCTGAGGTTGGAGGATCACAAGTTTTGAGGCCAGCCTGGGCTACCTAGCAAAACCTTGTCTCAAAAGACCAAAAAGAACTGCACTGCACAAAGCCTTGGGCTCAATCCTCAACACCACAAAAACACAAACACACTTCATGCAATTTACCATACTAGTACATTTTGAGCACTTTCTTCTTCACACAAGTTGTAATCAAACCAAATTCAACCATGTTGAGAGTTGTGATGAGCAATATAAGGCAGTGTGGACAACTAAAAGAAGCAGATCCCTTTGCAACAAGGTGGCACCCTTCAATGGCTCAGCCTTTGCAACTAATGTCACTGTTGTGGTGGATGTGAACTCATCCTATCATTATGGTACTGTGACCCCAGAAAACTAACCTCCATTTCCATAAGAAGGTTGTTATTGCTGTTTTAATCCCTACTCTGCAGTGTAGGGCTAGGGCTCAAATGCGTCATCTTAGTACTCTTTGTCCCATACAGATCCACTGTAAAATCTATGGCCCTCCACCCTCACCAAAAATATAGGGAAGAATGCCATGAAAGAAAATGTCAATTTGTTAGGGTGAATTAAAGTACAACATACATTACCTAAAATGATAACTTAAGAGCAACATACTTAAAAGTTAATTCTATTCAGACAAATAACTTGGTAGGCACCAGGAAGTTGTACAAGAGTTTTTGATTAGAGAAATGACATGATGAGGAACTGGCAGCACAATATAGGACAGAGTAGAAAGGAGAGTGACAATGATAGAAGGTAAAAGGCCACTGTGCTAATTACAGCAGCACCCTATAGACTAGGCAGTGATAATAAAAATGAAGGGGAAGGCGTCCAGTAGGGGTTGTATTAAGATGACTCAAGAGGTTTATTATTTTTGAGACTGTGGATTGAACCAGGGCTTTATGTATGCTAGATAGGCAAGCATCCTACCTAGCACACATCGGTATGAGCTACATCCCCAGCCTTTTATTTTTTGAAACAGGGTCTCACTGTATTGCCAGGCTGGTCTTGAATTTGTTATCTCCCTGCCTCAGCTTTCCAAGTAGCTGGGATTACAGGCATGCACCACCACGCCCACGTGACTCACAGGTATTAAGCATGATTACCTGGAAAAATGGTGGCATCACCACAAGAAAAGACTAGGTGTAAGGGCTGAGGAGGAGTTGAGACTAGATAAAGATAGCTTTAAGTGACCTAGCAAATTACTTAGGAAGTAATTGGAAAAGCACATGGCAAGAAGAGTTGTCAGCCTCGGCCCTCAAATTTAAAATCTGAAATCTAGTTAAAACCAGATTTAGATTTGGCAGTGCTTTTATCAGGTACTCCCCGAAAGTTGTCGGAACAGATAAACTCTCAAAAAAGAGCCGAGATCCGGGTGTGGTGGTGCACGCCTGTAATCCCAGCACTTGGGAGGCTGAGGCAGGAGAATCATTGTGAGTTGAGACCAGCCTGGGCTACAAAGTGATTTAATTGGGCTCAAGGTCAATCTGAACTGCATAGCGAGACCCTGTCTCAAAAAGACAAAAAAGAAAAGAAAAGAAAAAAAAAGAAAAAAGAGCTGAGAAGATCAAATGAAACCCTATCAATTAAAAAGCATAATTTTTTATTTTTTTGTGTGAGATAGGGTCTCGCTGTGTAGTTCAGGCTGGCCTTGAGCTCACTACACAGCCCAGGCTGGCCTTGAACTCAGTGATCCTGCTGCCTCAGGAGTACAGGCTTTTGCCACCACAGTGGTTTAAAAGCATAATTTTGAAATGTTCAAATAAAGCCATTTGATTTGAAATGTTAACACTAAGTACTAAAACCTTTTTGACAACTTGAAATAACTTGTAAAGATGTGCATCGATATATTGAAATTTCTTCCAAAAATGTCTCAATCATACACTGAAAACAAACTTTACCCTTCCTATTAAAACTGTATTTCTCTTTATAGACATATTGTAGCTAATAGGTTAAGAAAAGAATGGTATAATTAAAGGCCCAGTTAAATTACTGCCATATGAAACCACAGTGAAATGATGGAATAAACTGTTAACGTAACAGAGAAAACAACCAAACATCACATCTCCTGATGGAAGTACACATTACTTCCTATGAATTATCCTTGCCTTTTCCTCCCAGACTCATACCAGGAATCAAACTTCAGCCAATCTAGCTACCAATTTACAAGTAATACAAGGGATAAACTTGGACATGTTAAAACTGTGTCACAGGAGCTGGGCATGGTCGTATATACCTGTAATCCCAGAAGTCTGGGGGGCTGAGGCAGGGGGATTGCAAATTTGAGCCCAGTGTGGCCAACTTAGCAACTAAGTGAAAACCTACCTCAAAATAAAAGAATTTGTAAAGAGGGCTGGGGATGTAGTGTGAAGGGCCTATGTTCAATCTCCAGTACTGCAAAAAGCAAAAAACCTGTACCAGAAAGACACATCCATGAAAATCTGGAATGAATTAGAGGAAGAATGACCTGTTTCTTTCAACAAATAAATTATAATAAAAACAACAGAGAAAGGACAAATCTTTAGATTATACGATTTAAGAAAGATACCAACCAGATGCAATGACCTTGTTTGGATCCCAAATCAAACCAACCAATTATTTTAAAACAACTTAAAAACAGAAATATAAAGTTATGAAAATCTGAAGAGAGACTAAATACTTGGTGATGTTGATTTTTTTGTTTGTTCGTTTTTTTGAGACAGAATCTTGCTGTCCAAATAACTATATAGTCCAGGCTGGCCTTGAACTTGCGATAATCCTACTTCAGCCTGTGGGTGCTGGAATTAATTACAAGTGTGCGCCACCATGCCCAGCTCGGTGATGTTAATTTTTGAAGGTAGGATAATGATATTGTGATTAAGATTTTCTTAAGAGTGGTATTTTTCACCTGGGCAAGGTGGCACACACCTGTAATCCCAGCACTTGGGAGGCTGAGGCAGGAGGGAGGATCACTGAGTTCAAGGCCAGCCTGGGATACATGAGTTCAAGGCCAGCCTAAACAAGGTGAGACCTTGTCTAAAAAAAAAAAAAGAGAGAGAGAATCTTTCAGAAATAAATATTGAAATATTTACAGATGAAGAAAATTGCATCTAGGATTTGCTTCATAATAATCCAGTGTGATAATCCATATCTATTGGAGAAAGTAATTAGGGGTAGAGTTGAAACATTAATTGCTCAACTCTGTGTTTTGAAAATTTCCATATTAAACTGTTTAGAAAGGAAAACCACCACAAAAGAGATGTCAGGAATGTCACCAACAGAAACAGAAGAAAGGAACGGACCGCTTTCGAATTTTTTCTCCAAGCTTTGTACCTGGTCTAGACATACAATCAATGGTTAAGTGGAGACAAACTTCTACTTGTTCATGCTAGAAACCTGGGTGATATCCTTAGTTTCTCCAAGGCTTCTCCAAGGCTCTTGTATCTGACCTACCATCAAATCCTGCTTCCCCTTCTCTTCCATCCTCTCACTACTGCCCAACTTTTGCAACACTCATCTCACACCACTCTCCATGAGCACCTCCCTTTATGCGGCTCTTCATTATGTACAGAATAATGTTCCTAAAATGCAAAGTTTAATCAGGCCTTCTCCAGCTCCACTTCAAATTCTTAAACAGCTTTCAATCAGATTCAAGAGTGGTCTTTTAAGCATTTTTGTCTCATCTCTTCTCCAATTCCTTCAAGTGGCTTAAGATCATCTCTTCTCACTCTCTGTGACTCCTCTCTTTATACTTTAGCTTTGGCAAAGTCATTTCAGTTCTTGCACTGTACCTAGCACTGACTGTATTGCTCTATTAATGTCTGAAATGCTCTTTCCCACTCATCTTCACTCTCTCACCTTCCCACCTCCTTGAAGTATATTCATCCTTCAAGTCTCAGTTAAATAGCATTTCCTCAGAGAAGTCTACCCATATTGCTTTTCTCCTAAATTGGGTGTCTTCCCTCACTTGCACAATAGTGTTTGTTCTCACATAGCACTCCATATTTGTCTGTGGAGAGTACTTGTGCTAACTACATACTGTATCTGTTTTCCAGTTAGACTATAAACTCCAGGAGGGCAAGTGCTGAGATTTGTTCACTGCTGAACCTTAGGTTTCTCACAATGCCTGACAGCCACAAAAAAATTGCTGAATACATACAATTCATAACTTTCTGGACTGTTCCCTCTTCCTAGTCCTCACATGCAACAAAGACAGCCGCACAGGCATTTATACACGGGTCAGAATCCTTTAAAGGAAAGCATATTATGAAATGAACTGAAAACAGAGCTGGAATGAAGGACAGAATTTGGGACGTTATTCCTCTTAAAAAAAAAATATTTTCAGCCTAAGATAGTATGTATCCACATTGATAACTTCAGAGAAAACTCAGAAGAGTGCTAATCTGACAAAATGGTAGTCAACAGACGGAGTTCTGGCCCAATCGTTAAGTTTTCATACCTCACATATTAAGTCCCTTAATCTCTCCTGCCTCAGTTTCCGTCTCTGTAAAATAACAGAATCAACCAGCTGGTCTTTTCAAGATTCTTTTCACAGCTATTATATGCTTTCATATTCAAGGGGGAAAAGCATGCAAACTATTGAAAAACTAATCAGGTAGTTTCATCCTATTGTGGTATCTTTATTTTTTCCTTCTTAATCTGTTTAAAGATGTTATAGTCTATTATGTTAAGCTTACACCTAAATCTGTAAATCTATTCAACTACAGAAAGCTCACAAGTGTCACACCTTAATCCCAGCACTAAGGAGGCTGAGGCAGGATGATCGCTGTGAGTTCAAGGCCAGCCTTAACTCATAGTGAAATCCTGACTCAAAAAGACAAAAAAAAAACCCCAAACCCTCACAAAATGCTCTTCAGACTATTCGCTTGCATAATTTAACAAGGCTACTGCAATTTGATGAAAGAGTGTATATTTAAACCCCAAATGAGGGGGCTGGGGATTTAGCTCAGCGGCACAGCGCCTGCCTGGCAAGTGCGAGGTTGAGAGTTCCATTCCCGGTACCGGAAAAGGAAAAAAAAAAAAAACACCCAACAAAAACAAAAACCAGCAACCCCAAATGAATTACTTAAGTATATTCAATTTTGGTTTAAATTTAAAAACATCGTCTGTTTAAGGGCTTTAAGATTCCTTTACTTCTTTACCATTTCTATGGCAACCTGTACCATAGGCAAAATTGTACCCCAGGGTTTAAGATTTGGGCTTATGGCCATTACTTAACACCTAGCTAAAAAACTTGAAGATACAGTGTCTATTTCACCGCACTGGACTGGTAGCTGAGATACACACGGTTTACTAACAGCCGAATTCCTTTCTACATTCTTCCAAACTCTCCCACGAAACCAAAATAATTTTCAAAAGCTTTCTAAACCAGTAATAGTAAAGTAGGCTGTAAACATTTTACTATCAGTAGACACCCAGTTTATAATCTGCCACTGGAAACCCGAGGACAAGACTCTAGTAGTAGCACGTGTGTCCTGGCTTAGACTGATTACAAATTAGTTTTTTTTTTTTTTTTAACTCGTGCTTGCTGTACCAAACACGTCACGACAAAGAAACAAAATGTTAAATGCACAAGGAAAAAAAGGATGCATGTGGAACAAGCGTGCATCCGACCATCCATAACGCCACCCTTCCCACCGGCTCAACAGGGCCGTCTGAAGCCCCGGAGCCGGAGGCGCCTCCGCAGCCACAGGTTGCACGACAAGGCTCCCCCACCCCCTCCCGCGGCAGTTCCGGAGCCTGCGGGTCGGGTCGGCGGTCCGCTCCGCCGAGTCTCCCCGAGCCCTCCAGTCTCGCTCCGCCGCGGGCACTGCAGCTCACACCACTCTCGCAAGCCACCAGGTGGGACTGGGATTGGCAGGGAAGAAGGCTGGGCGGGCGTGCCGCGAGTCCCAACTCCCGCCCAAGTCCCTCACCTCCCGGCGGGACGAGGCCGGCGTCCCGAGGCACCACGTGAACCGGCCCCACGGCGCCCCTTTCCGCAGATCAAAGCATCTCTCAGGGAGCCTGCTTAAGATTAGCGGGGAAGCCGCTTCCCCAAGGTCACCAGGTGGCATGACCCGACTCCTGAGCCGGGCCGGCCGCCGATACCTGACCACGGGGGCCCGCGGTGCGCCTGCGAGTCGCTGGCCCGGCGCCTCAAGGTCCCCTCCACCCGCGCCGCGCCTGCGAGGCTACGCGGCTGCCCGCGGCCGGGATGCCCGCGGTCGGAAAGCCTCCCTCCCGCGGAGACGGACGTCCCCAGCACCCGGAGCGTCCCTCCGCCCCGCTGAGACAGCGAGGGCACCAGGGGCTGCGCGCCGAGTGTCGCCGGCTGAGACCGAACTAACCGTTAAGCACGCGGCTCGAGGCGCTGGGCGTGTGGGTGACGCGGCGGGCGAGCGGGGCTCCTCTGGCCCCGAGGCCCGGCTCCCGTCCTTCGCCTGCCGCTAGCTCGCTAGCTGGAGCACCCACGCGGGAGGTTAGTCACGTCGCAGCTCGCCACTTTGTCTGGCGGGGCCGGCGCGGCCGCCTTATAGCCCGCGGGGGGGCGGAGCATGCGCACAGGGGGCGGAGCCG